TTTTTTTTCCCCCAGAACTGGGGATTGAACTCAGGCCCTTGCACTTGCCTGGGAAGTGCTTACTCCACTGAGCCATCTCCCCATAAATTTATATTTTAAACATTTTTTTATTTCAGGTTCACAAAGGAGTTCATGGATTTGTTAAAGATAAGACTGGAAAACCAGTTTCTAAAGCAGTCATTGTACTCAATGAAGGAATAAAAGTACACACAAAAGAGGGAGGTTATTTCCATGTGCTGTTAGCCCCAGGTGTCCATAACATTAATGCCATCGCTGAGGGGTACCAGCAACAACATTCACAGGTAAGAAATTTAAATTGAAAAAAAAAAAGAAATTTAAATTTGAGTAGTAATATGTACAACTATGGTTTGGTTTTGTTTGTTTTGTAGTACTGGAGATAGACAAAAAGACCCAGGGCCTTGTATAGATAGACAACTCCACATTGAGCCCCCAGCCCTGTTTTAAAATTTCGAGTCTCACTCATTGCCCAGGTTGGCCCTGAATTTGTGGTTTTCCTGCCTCGGCCTCCTGAGTAGCTGGGATTACAAATATGCACCACTACACCTAGTTAAATGCTTATTGTTAAGAACAATTTATTTTACTTTGGAACTCTTGTTAGGAAGCACCGAAAGGATAAATAAATAGTATGGCCATTTATTGATTATGGTGTTTCATTATCTTTTCATTGCCTCTTTAGCAACAAAAAGAAAGTTTTATAGCATTTTGTGTACCTTAGATGACAATGAATCATCTCTTTGGTTTGCTATGAAGGCCCTAGAAACATACTAGTAATACAGTATACATTAAGTAAACCTTTTAATAATTCTTGTACTTTACTCTTTCAGGTCTTTGTACATCACGATGCAGCCAGTCCTGTTGTAATAGTCTTTGACACAGATAACCGGATATTTGGTTTGCCAAGGGAGCTTGTGGTAACTATATCAGGTAAACAAATTTTATTTTCTAATAGCTGAAGCTAGAACCAGTTATTTCACTCTAAGAGTGGATCATGTCTGTAATCATCCACAGGTAATACTTTTTCTAATGTCTTCTTATCTAAACATGTTTTTTTTATGGCTATATCCTTCCATATGTTCTCCTGGCTTTCCCCTTACTTTATCAGCTCTGTACCCAAACATTACCTCCACGGAGGCCTTCCCCGATCACTCTCAATGACACAGTGCCCTGTGTCATTTCTACCACATTTTTTTTTCATAACACTTATGCAATTCCCTGACATAATAGTATGTATTTGTTCATTTCCTTGTCCACTTTCAATCTGCCCCACTAAAACATAATCTTGGACAGCAGGAAGTTTATCTATTTCCCAGAACAAAATCATGATTAGCAGGTAGTGGGTCTTAATGAGGAACTGTTGAGTGAGTGAGTAATTTGTTTTATATTAAGGTCACAATTTCCTAGAATTTAGGAAAGATACAGAAGAGAGGAAATTTTTTTTCCAAGGTTAATTTGTACCATTGTTTGAATTACTGAAAGGTCAGGAAGAAAATAATATATTGCAGGCAAGAGGTCTCTAGTGGAGACAAAGTGGTACATTGGAAACATGGTGCAAGCACAGGTCCTCTTGTGGAATGTTTAAAGACTTCTTAGCTTAAACCAGATAAAATGAGAATAATTTAACAGTTAAAAACACAGGAACTAGGAGAGCCAGCCAGATAGTTCAGTGGATTAAAATGCCTGCTTAGGCAGACACTGGGACTAGGATTTGATCCCTGAGTGCCATGCCGGCCCCGCCCCCAGTGCACACTGAGATGGTGACTTGAGACTGGGCGTGGTGGTGCAGGCCTGTAATCCCAGCACTTGGGAAGCTGAAAACAGGAGGATCACTATGCGTCTTGATCTGTGTAGTGAGGCCCTGAAGTCCCTGTACTAAATACATTTTTAAAAAGAAAAAAAGTAAGTAAGTCAAAAACACAGGAACTAAGGATCATCTATGGTTTAAATCTGCCTCTGCCACCCATTAACTATTGTGAATTTTATTTATTTATGTAGATATTTATATTTATGTATTTTTATAACTAAGCCTTTTTTGTTTTTAATTTTAGGGAAGGGTCTACAGGGTGTTCAGGGTCTCACTACTAGATCAGACTCATAGTGAGCTGCCTGTTTACAGCCTCCTGAGAGCTAGGATTACAGGTGCACACAATCACGCCTAGTCTCAATAGCTGTCTCAGCCCAGGCCAGCCAGAGAATCGAACCCCCAGCAGGTGCTTTAATCCACTGAACTATATGGCCAGCCCTTACTAAGACTCTTGATAATTTAAAATAAAGGAAACATTAGCAGTTTACTGAAAAACAGACTGTAATTTCATTTTAGTAAAAGAAAGACTTGTATGTAACCATACATAAAGATCTGGGAAAATATGCACTAAGGTAATTAAAAAATATTTCAGGGTAATAGAATATAAAGATGTAGATTTTTGGTTGGTCATTTTATCTTTAAAATTTGGCACACTGTATACATGTCCTCTTTCTATAATAATAAAAGGTTGGGGAACTACCCGCTCGGGCCCCCCTCCTGTCCCTGTCTTGGACAGGAGCTTTCTTTCTCTCAATAAATATATTCTGCTCATAAAAAAATAATAATAATAAAAGGTTGATCTTATATACAATAAATACAATAAAGGTTCTTATGTATGTACAATAAAAATAAATGAGCATGTTGTTAAAAGTGCCATTGTTAGTAGTTACTTATTCACATCCTTAAGGAACACATCGCTACGTAACAGTTTTTGTCTTACAGGTGCCACCATGTCAGCATTAATCCTAACAGCTTGTATTATTTGGTGCATCTGTTCAATCAAGTCTAACAGACACAAGGATGGTTTCCATCGCCTCAGGCAACATCACGATGAATATGAAGATGAAATACGCCTCATGTCAACTGGCTCTAAGAAGTCCCTCCTAAGCCATGAGTTCCAGGATGAAACAGACACTGAAGAGGAAACATTATATTCTAGCAAACGTTGAAAAATATACTTTGCCTATCTCCCAGCTAAGTACCAAGCAAAATTACAGCTCCTCTTGGGAGGCACTCCAATAAGAAGAGACGACTGTTTTTTTTTTTCAGAGCTTTTTGGGGATATCTTTGTTAAATCTGTATTTTCTGTGAATTTTGCTGGCAGTTTTGAACTTCCCTTCCTGAAAGTACTCTTACCTTTTTTAAAAAGTCTGATTTGTATTTATGTAGCAGAGATGGAACAGCCACTTTGTTTTTCTTTTTTCCTTTACAGTGAGCTACTTGGAGCTTATGTTGGAGCTTATGTAATCCCAGCAAAAAGCCAACTGGCAGAGATTGTAATTTGCACATCAGGTGTTTACTAGTTAGTGGCTTTAGATTTTTTTCTTTACTTTAAAGGCCAAAAGAATCCAGAAACATTAAGCGGGACAGCAGTCATATTCTGACATAAAAGCTTTAAAAACTCAAGGTTCTTCTCAACCTACTGAGGAGTACTCTTCTCTAGTTATTAAATAGCTGGAGTTTCTCTTATTCAGGTTTAATGGAGGTTGAATGATTTTTAAACTTATATAGCATTAGGAAATTAATAAATGGGCTTCCGCACTGTTTCCAGGCTAGATGATAACTGGTGGGCTGTGCTGTAGCAGGATTTCACTACCTCTCTTGAAAGACTTAGCAAAATTATAAATATTCTCATTTTAAGGGAGAACTTGTTGCCTTTATTGTGAAAGATCTAAGTGTCCACTTGAACGGAACTGAGAGGGAGATCTAGCAAAGCTGAAATTCATGTTGCCTATCTTTTAACTTGGAAAAAATCCACAGGTGCTGCTGCTTTTATCTGTGAAGCACTAGGTTATTCTAGGAATGCCTAATTCTTTAATATTTCCTAAATATGAACCTTTTTCTATGTTGTACACTTAGGGTTTTCAGATGACTCGGCCATCCACGAGATCTGAATTCTACTGAAAATACCTGGAAGTATGGAAGAGATCTCCTTGTACATTCTTAACCTACATTTAGTATAGATACAAAATATCTATACTTTGTGCTCCAGCCATTTCTTTTGCCCTGTAATAGCATGCTAGTATTGAAATATCTTGCCTAGTCTTCTTTACATTGGCCTCTGCAAATGATTGGGTTCTTTGTCCTAATGTCTTACTTAAAAGTCTTGTTTTTTTTGGACCAACCAATTTTGTTAAACGTCCAATTGAAAGCTTTAAAATAAGGCTCCCTCCATTTGAAAAAAAAAAAGTGTAAATTATGGACTACTGTGTGATGTAACACTGTGGTGGGAAAGTATCATCTTCACTGCCAGTCATGTAAGACCTCAGATAGTTGCATTTGATTGTGTCCATCTTATGCTGTTCAGTGGAAATGATGCTTTTTATAAGTATGAGTCTTACCAATGATCTAATCGTTTAATACCTTTGAATGTTCTAATGGCCAAATTGCTGCTGCTGAACTTGTACTAAATCAGGGGATCAAAAAACTAGCTCTCATCTTTTCAAATTATATTCATTAATCTAGTAGTTATTCCAAAGCCTTTATGTGGATTTATTCCACTCACCTAGGTCTTTTAACCAGGTTTTGTGAGTGATACATCCAAAGTGGCTCTATAAAATAGAGCTTTTTGTTTAGCAGGAATAATGAGGTCATGACATTTGTTAATAAACATCTGTGATAAGTTTGGGTGGCTCAAGGTTAAGCCATGCTGGTATTAATCCTGGTATTACAGTAGCAACTCTAAATTCTGCCTCCTTTTATCCCATTGTATCCATAGAACAAAGTTTATGGGATGGTAATATTTAATGAACTATTATTTAATTTCTTCTAATAACACTACACTTTCCTTAAAAATGTGGTGCATTACTTTTTTTTTCAGCATTATTATTTAGAATGCAAAGTCGGCCAACAACGGGCCTGCTGGTAGTTGGCCCTGCTTGGACACTGCAACTAGAAATAAAATGAATTTGATGGGAAAGCCTTTGCTTTATTGGCATTGGTCTTCACTAGAGGATACCTTCACATTTATTTCTCTCTTGAACTAAATATATCTTTAATATTGTAATAAACATCTCAGTGGCTGGAGGCCATGCCTTTTAAGTATATATAAAATTTTTAAAGAGATGGACATACAGATAATTCTTTTAGTAATTTATCCTAAAAGGAAAATCAAATTCTGTTATGTCTTAAGTCAATAATAAACTTCTAAATGATACATTTAGCTAGAAAACAAGGCCTTTTCAGCCTGTGTTACCTGTGAACATGAATGTACAGGATCCGTGACTATTGTGTTCTAAGCCCTGCTCAGTCTTTTATTTGTGGATCTAAAATGATTAGACCACATTAACAACTGAAGGCACTGAAGCAATATGGGATGGGGGATACATTTCTTCAGTATTTCTCCTAGAGACTTTCCATCTCCTTGGAGTCATGGAGGCAAGTAAGTATCACAGTATTAATGTGCCCAAATCTGAGTTGTGCCTTTCTTTTCTCACAAGGCATAGTTTTGTCCTGGTGATCAGTTTGTAAGCCTTTCTCCCCTCCTGGCTCCTTAATAAAAGCAAAATGATGGAGTAGATAATGTTCAAAGTGTCTGTCTATGTAATTGTACTTGTACTGATCATGTAGTTTGGTAAGATGAGCCCATGCAATTTCAGAAAGACAGACTACAGTTCTAATGTAAATTTGGTGAAAATATGTGGTTAGCAAGTGAGTTTCCATCCAGTTCAGGTATGCCTGTAATTCTGATTGAAGGGAATTTACTTTGGAGCTTTGTCATCTTTCAGAAAGGAAACATTGTATTTTGGGTTCAGTGTGATTGGATGGTTAATCTTTGGTAACTTTGATCTGAATGAATCTTGCTGAATTAGTGAATATTAAACTTAAAACTAATTATGAGTTGAAAATAAAAGGTAGTGCTAATGTCTGAGTTTATTGTATTTCTAACACCAGATTACTCAGTAACCATGACCAGCTCCTCTGTTGACATTCTCAGCATTAATTTTTATCTTCTTGTTGCCAGAAATGCGTTTGTGCCAGGTTTTACCCTGCTATATTAAAAGCTTCTTGGCTGTAAACTATGATAGTGCTCTATGTTACGGTTCTGTAGTGGAACAGTTTTAACAGTAGCATTTCCCCCACGTTTTGCTTTATTGTCACTACTAAAATTTCCACTCTAGTTAGTGTTCAGTGATTTTTCTACCTAGTAACTTTCTGATAACTCTTTGGGTTTCTGATTTGTTTTAATTAAAGCACTACTGGGGGAGGGTTTAGAGTCCTTGATTAATCAGCTAAACTTAGGTTTCTAGCTCATGAGGAAATCTCCCCCAACACCCAGTTCTATTTTTTGGCAGTAATTAATGATGCCAATTTATTTTCAGAATATTAGCCTGGTTGATTTTGATTTGACAAACAACATAAAATTAGAAAGTAGGTTACCATTTTTAGACAACTGGATGAAAATCATGTAAATATGTATGATTATGATTTTTATAAATGGCATAACATGAGTACACTAGCTACATTCTGTGCTGGCCGTGCTGCACATTTTCTGGAGATATGACATATGGTATTTTTTTATGCTCTTTTAACCTCTCCATTTTCTCAGAATGATGCCCCCTGGCTCGAGACCTTATCTATAGCTATTTATATGACATGCTCAGTACCATTCATTTTAAGTGCTTCAGCCTTTGGTTTATTTCATGCACTGTGCCTTCAAAATAAAAAATTTAAAAGGGACTTTAAATGAAGTTGAATAGTTTTAAAAAGTCAATCTGTGTAATTTATGTGAAACCTAACTGTAATGAGGTCCTTTCTGTTTTTTATATGTAAACAGATCTACTAATCCTGTATAAAAGTTATTTTATGACGTTTGTCTTTGTGTTTTGTCTCATAATCTTTTACCCAAAGCAATAGGCAAGAAAATTATAGTTTCAGTTTGAAAGTTACGTAGTTTTTCTACCCATCCCAGAGGAAAAATAATACCAGGATCAGAATACCAGGTATCACCTATAAAATATTTGTTTTTATGAATTGACTCCAAAGAAAATTTGTTTCTGAAGTAGTCACATCATATATAGTAACCACAGTTTTCTTTTCAGTTTGTAGTTCATTTAGAATGACATAGTCATTCCACAATGATACCACAAATAGTAGCAACTAATGTTTAACCATATCCCCATTCATCAACCTGTGCCCTAGGTTTAGGTTAAAAGTTGAAAAGTCCATATAACCATTTAAAATTTGTTAAAATCCTTTTTCCAGGTGAATTCTGAAGTGCATCCTGGTACTTTTAGGCAGAGTGATGATGAATTCACTATCCTAACAAGATTTTTACATTTATTGGTACTACTAATCTGCCAGGGACTGAGAAAGAAAATTATATAAGAAACATGGGATCTGATGACAAAGAACTGATAGTACAAACTAGAAAAACAGAAATGGAAATAAGTTGCACTTCATTAGTGTGTGCTTCCTCTCCAAAACAAAGTCTCTGTTGTAAGGAACTAGAGCAGAAAGGTTTGAGCTTGATGAACTCACCTACAGTTGATTTGTAGATCTTCCATTTGCTTCCTAGTTAATCTTATGTTATATGAGTTCCTTTTTTTTGGGGGGGGGGGGTCTACAGGGCGTTCAAGGTCTCACTACTAAATCAGACTCGTAGTAATCCACCTGTTTACAACCTCTCAAGAGCTGGGATTGCAGTGCGCCCCCAGGGCAGGGTCAGCAGGGCAGGCCTGGGGATCCAACCCCCAGCCCCTGCGCCTGCTTGCAGGTGCTTAAATCTGAGCTATTTGGCTGGCCCTTGTATGAGTTTCATAACATTCCCTGAGTCTCAATTTCTCAGTTAATAATGCTGATAGGATTATAGTGGGAATGAAAAAAAGTTTTGTTCCCAAAAGGCTAATATTATTGACTTAGGTTTTGTTTTGTTTTGTTTTGTTTTGTTTTTGTGGAACCGGAGATTGAACTCAGGCCCTTGCGCTTGCTAGGGAAGCGCTTATTCCACTGAGCCATCTCCCTGGCCCTTGACTTAGAACTGAATGCCTGTAGTAACACATTTTCCTTCATTTGCTGTTCTCTGATCACTTTGAAAGTTATTTTATCAAATATATGAGTGAAGATCTTTTTTGTAGGTGGTCTTTTTAATTTAGAAGAGTTAGACTCAAATACTTGTTGGAAAATTTCTTTCACTGCCTAAGTAACAGTAAAGTTGTAATTGTGCCAAATACTTCATATTTGGTTTTAAAATGAAATTAGATTGTATTTATGCTTTAGTGAAGACTTCTCCTCCCACAGAACGTCTGAACATTTTTCTCTCAATGTTTGAAATGTTTTCTGGACTTTTCCAATACCTTAATGAAGAAGCCATTTGATTTGTTTTTTAAACAGTAGCCTAACTAATTTTTTCAGGTTTCTAGAAGTTGATTATTGTCAGCAAAATAAATATGATGGTCACTGTTCTTAATTATGAATAAGTACCATCATGTAGTCATCTTTCATTCTGACTTACAACTGGAATGCCAACTAATTCTATTACTATTTATTGGAGACCTCAGATAAATCACGACTCACACTTAAACAGCAGTGAAATTAGTGACAGCCCAATGGCTAATATTGTAGTTTCCACCCACTACATTGATCAGTAGAATGTAAAAAGCAAACATCCTTTTTGGCACTTTGGGCTAAGGTCAGATGGAATTCTGTTCTCTTACTGTACTTTGTAAACAAATGTAGACAAGATGAGCTTATGATATAGTTTGGTCTACATGGAGTAGAAAAGTATTGTACTTTGGAGCTCAGCCTGGAAGAAACCAAAGACAAAGGGGTGAATTACTTGATTAGGTTAGAGGTATGGTAATTGAAAGTCAACATATATTAAAACAGACAGCTTAAGCAAAGATAGTGTATATTGATTTAATTGGAAGAAATATGAAGCAGGGAGAGGAAAAAGCTGTGGATGAAAAATCAGGTGGAAAAATTTAAGATTAAATTTGGGAACTGCACATTAACCAGCAATTGTAATATGGATGTTTCATGATTATCAAATTGAGTGAAAGTACTAGGGATCTGGGGAAAGTTTAAATTGCTAGATTTGAATCACTACTAATTTAAAATATTTTTAAGTTAATATTTATAATTATTGTTAGTTTTACTGCATACCACATGGTGCCCAGCAGAGTTTTTCAATACCAAATAGTCCTTTGATGCAGTGTCTGAAAAAAGTGAGATTCTAAAAACATTGATCCTAAAGAGAGGCAGAGAATAGATGTAGAGAAAACATTATGATAATGACTAAATCAGTGGACTGCAAGATTTTTCGAAAGTGATTTTAAAATAGTTTTAGATTTACAAAGTTGCAAAGAAAATACAGTTAGTTTCTGGATTTTTAACGTGAAGGACTTGAGTGTCAGGAGAACAAACAGGAAGGATTTTGTGGTTTTCTACCTAGCAGGATTTGAACACTTTTGAAAAGGGACTGGGCATAGAAAATAGGATGTATAGAACCTAACCAGCTGAGCAAAGCTTGGTTGGTCTGGAGCCAAGCTATGTTGTGCTGCTTATGAGTGAGTGAGTGAAACTCTGATCTCTAGTTTCATCCTAGAGGTGGAGACCACAACTTTTCATCACAATTTAAAATGAGCAATAAAGTTCTATCCAAGTTTCAGATGTTGACATTATCAAATGTTGTAAAACAGACATACTTACTATTGTCAAAGAAATAAGATAATGGGCCAACCAATAAGCTCAGCAGATTGAAGTGCCTGCAAGCAGGTGCAGGGGCTGGGGGTTTGATCCGTGGGCCTGCTGTGCTGGCCCCGCTCCCCCGGGCACACTGGATGGCAATTGAGACTGGGCGTGGTGGTGCGCGCCTGTAATCCCTGCTCTTGGGAGGCTGTAAACAGGCGGATCACTATGAGTCTGATCTAATAGTGAGACCCTAAACACCCTGTAAACCCTTACCAAAAAAAAAAAAAAAAGATAAGCCACAGAGTATCACAGAAAAGTAAAGACAGGAACTTCTGGAAATGAAAGTACAGAAACTAAAATCACATAGTTATAGTGCCAGATAGAGCACAAACCAATAGTGAATTAGAAGATGGATAAAAATTCTTATGCATCACAGAGATCAAAAGATAGAAAATATGCATTAAGGTAAAAAAGGTGAATTTAAGATAATTGTGTGTGTGATAATGGAGAATGCATGTAATATCTTCACACTGAGCTAGTGTCTTCCTTTTTATCTATTTATTTTGAGACATATTCTCACTAAGTTGCCCAGATGGGACTCAAATTTGCAGTCCTCCTGCCTCAGCCTTCCAGAGTGTCAGCAAGTATAGATGTGTGCCCCCACATCTGCTGAATTAGTTAAACATGTTTGTTCAGTGTATATTTGATAGATCTAGAGGGAAGAGCAGAAAGAATGGAACCTAGGAAACTTATATTACTAATTTATCTGAATTGATTATATGATATCAGTCTATTGATTAAAGAAAGTCAATTCAAGCAAGAAAAAATGAACATCCATGCACATCACACCAATCAGACATCAGTGAAACTGCAGAGCACCAAGGACAAACTGAAAAGGAAAATAGAGCAGATGGGGAGAAAATAAACTTCAAAGGTTAGCAAACTAAGATTAGACTTCCCAACAATGGAAACCAAAGTACACTAAAATTAAAAGTTCACCAACAGGGCTGAAGACATGGCTCAGTGGTAGAGTTCTTGCCTTGCATGCACAAGGCCCTGGGTTCGATCCCCAGCACCACAAAAACAAAACAGTAGGGAATAACAACTGTGTCAAGTGATAAATACAGTGGTTGCTTTGATGTGATCATTATCATTGTCTCCCTATATTAAATGCCACACTGCACCCCATAAATACCTACCCGTCATTTTAAAACTATACTAAAAGTACTGGGTAAAACATTAATTTCAAAACTTGAATTCTATTAAATTTTTCAAGAATGAAGTTCCAAATAGCAGAAAACATTTATGGCAACCTAATTACTTCTGTCCCACTATTTCAAAATAATGCAAAACAAGACAGAAAAGGCAAATCTATACTGAAATTACACTCAGTGTAATTTGAAGAAAATTTTGAACTCTCCAAATTAGAAAAATCACCCAATCTTAGCATATACTGTTACATGACCACCAAGCCCCATCCCACCACAAGTGGTGTGGATGGAAATACACCATTAGGAAGACAGAAGAGGGATGCTAGCGTGCTGGTGTTTACACAGCATGGTAGTCTAAATGTGTCCAAGTAGATCAGAGCACACACTGCGGGGAAGGGGCAGGCTTCAGAGTGAGCACAACTTAAAAGGGGACAGGGATGATGTAAAGGTACTGCCTTTGGAACACAGCTGCTAGGAACAGCACATAGTGAACAAAAAAAAAAAAAACCCTTTGACAATTAGGAATGAAAGAAATAGAAGTGGACTAATAGGACAAGAATCCTTTCAGTCAAAGATAATTGAATTTGGAGCAACTTCAACCCTCCCCTATCACTAAAACCAACAAAAACTAATAAAATACCAAAACTTTGCTCTGTTAACAGTATCTCGGCCATGAGAACAACAAAAATTAATATTGGTAAGAATCAAATTTAAATGGCAATATGATTATTATGTGCAAAAAAAAATCCACAGATAAAATAGGAATAATATGATAAATTAGTTCTACTACTTGCTCTAGTTAATTAGCTTAAAATAGACCATCTCACTGAGAACAATTAGAAAAGCTGGATTTAAAAAAAAAAAAAGGGCTGGTGAGATGGCTCAGTGGTCTAAAGCACCTACTTAGAACAAGCTTAGCAAAGCACAGGGACCACGGTTCAATCCCCCAGCACCACATGCCAGCCAG